TCAGGATTTGTAGTCCATCTGAAATTGTATCTCTCTTGAAATATTCATGCAGAAAAGGTTTTGTTTGGGCGAATACAAAACAAAATAGTGGAGGCCAGTCATATGCTATCGTGTCGTTGGTTTTTCACGATTTAACAACGGTTTATCTCCTCCCACTAGTCTAGTGGGAGGAGAGCAAATCGTAGAGCATTTAGAATCGTATAAAAAGGAATATAAAATAAAAGCTTTAGATATGTAAGGGAAAAGGTTCATATGTTAGAAATCTCAATATTCGTAGTTTATGGTAATGTCTAACCTTTTGCGTTGTTGATTATCAGTTCTATTACAGTTTGTACAGCGATGGAAATCACTCTTTTCTGATGAATAAACAAATGCGAAATGCTGCATATCAATATCTACGCAAATATCGTTGCAACATTGTGATCTAATAGAAGCCAAGTAAAAACTACAGATTTTATACGTGGCATCAAAACACCAAGTGAAAAATATCGTTTTTGGAGTCCAAAAATGTGTATCGCTTGTAAATAATTGTCTTAGTAACATTTGATGATGAATGAAAATGAATAAATAATCTCTTGACTATTATGTCAATTTAGAAACCTTTCTTTTAAGACAAATGCTTTAAATTCATTCCCTAGATAATATAAAACTAAGATCTGCGAAATATTATGCTTCCTACTACAAAAAATACCATAAATTGTAAGGGGAAAAAGCGGTTTTCGAGGATCATGGTATCATATAGGATCCTAATTGAATGATTGAGGATCATCGATGATCACGTAATGATCATATTATAATCATTGAGCATCATTCTGTCAGCATGAAGAGAGCAAATTTATCTCTATATTATCAATCTTAGTTGTAAAGACCGAACCGAATTAAATAAGGGTAGCGCTATTACCACCTCTGGAGGTGTCAACAAGGGGCTACTGCCGCCTTCAGAAGGTGGCACTGACGGCTATTGCTACCTTCGGAGGTGTCAACAAGGAACTATTGCCACATTCTATCGGTGTCAACTAGAGCGTCATCTAGAACTAACTATAAAATACATAAGTACTTGGAAAGCTAAAGCAAATTCACACTATCTAATGCAAAACATTTTGTGTGAAACAACTTTTTGAACTCACTCTCACACTGCTCTCATCCTCCCTCCCCCAATACTCACCAGAAATTACCAGAAATACGCAAATTTACATGGGTAGGTTTATGGACACCCCGGGGTGGTAGCAGCGAACTATTTACGGCTCCAAGAGCAGCACGAAGCTATAGCCCATCGAACTGGCAGCAACGACCTATTGACAGTCCAAAATGCACTTATACACTGCACAAATGTGTTATTCAATAAAGACTATCATCTCCAGGCAACATGGAAGTATTATAGTGGCTCACTCTCATGCACAACCACCCCCGTCCACCCGAAACCTCTTCTGATAGCCCGTCAAATTCAGAACTAATTCAGCATAACACTTTGAATAACACATTTATGTAGTGTATAAGTGCATTTTGAGCTGCCCATAGCTCTTGCTGCCAGTTCGATGGGGTGTCAATAGCCATTCCGAATTTATATTATGAAAAATTCGCCGAATAGTCGTGTCACGCTAACTGACGCTATCTAACATAGTCCTATGCGTGGAGGTAGCAATAGCTCTATTTGACACCCTTAGAGGGTAGCAACAGGTTTAGTTGACATCATCTGAAAGTGGCAATAGTCGCCAGCGCCACCTTCTGAAGGTGGCAATAGCCGTTACTGACACCTTTGAAAGGTGCCAATAGCCGTCAGCGTCACCTTCTGAAAGTGGCACTAGCTCCTTGGTGACACCTCCGGAGGTGCCAATAGCCATTCCGATTAAATAATCTAAATTTCACTCTTTCTCATAAAATAGTTAACATTTTGAACTTGCTCCACACAAGAGGTAGATGTTAGGTTTCGTTACCAAATCTTAATCTTGGTCATTTATGAAGCCTATTCCTTGCTGCAAGTCTCAAATTTGGTGCAATATCCGAAAACTGTGAGAGCAAAGCTGGTGTTTGATGCAGTTGAATATTCATGCCTGCTCGTTAGAGGCCGTGGACATTAATGATAATATCACTTCATCCTTAAACCCAATACTGTGAATGAGATGCTTTGATTACGCCACTATTCTCTGTGTATCCGACAGGGGCGAACTGATACTTACTACTTGGTAATAACGTCATACATCAGTAAGGTCTTATACCGAGTTTTTCCATACTATTAGGTGAAATTTTGTGTGAAAAAACTCAATCGAGTAGCAGAACACTTTAATCTTGATTGACTACTTGTTGCACTCGCTCTAGACGATCACTGGATCAATGGTTTTTGCTCTTTTTGAAGAACCAACAAGTACTCTTATGAATATAACGGTTTTCTCCATTAATTTGAATATGAAAATACGATTGCTCATCTTTTGGATGAATATTAGTTGCATATTAGTTGTTATTTTCATTCCTTTGTATTCGGTTTTTGCATGATTTGAAAGTATTTATTTATAATGTACTGTGGTTATCAATTTCTTCCTCGGCTAAACTGTTGTCTTCTTGACTTGAATTATTAACATCTACGTCTCGTCCTTCATTTTCATCTCCTTCCGCCTCATCATAATCATCAAGTTGTTGCGTTGTATGTGAATAGTCGGATGTACGAGTCGATTCTGACAAATGATTCTTAATAAACAAACTTAAATGATCTAATTCATAACAATTTCTTTCTTTCAATAACTTTATTATTGCAAAAATCGTCGTTGTTTGTTTCCTCAAAATACTTGATTTTGTGTAAAACTGATATCCGTTCACATCGTTTAATGAAATCGTTCACCGTAAAGTTTGTAATCATTGAAAACTAAATATTCAGAAATCGTATGAACTAGCATCGCACAAAGTGTTTATTTCAATGCTGGTAAGTTCAAATCTGGTATTTCAAAAAACACACGAGATCATATTGAGATCAAATAATTATAAAGGTACAAACAATATAATCATGAGGTATCACAAAGGGGTCATAAAAGGATCCTGAGGTATCATAAAGGTATAATAAAAGGGATCGATCCTCGCTTTTTACCCCCTAATAAATTACCAATGTCGTGAACGAATTCTTGGTGAACCATAAAGAATGGTAATTTTGATTTATTGTTATCATTAGTGGCGAGGGAGATCGTACTGGATGGTTGATTAGTGCTAGGTGAATTCATATGGGAACCTATTCAACGAAAAAGGTGGCAGTAAATTGGCGGATCATTGATCTGTATAAGGCGCCATAAAGCAATAAAGAAACAGCTGAATCATCATGCTAATAAGGCTAAGTTCCTCATTTCACACCTAGTAGATAAAAAGCAAACTACAGTTTACTGCAAAGCTGAGTTTATGTGTTCAAACTTGTATCCGTACAAAATTGCTTTTGTGTTTTTGATAAGTTTAGTTTCGAATACTATAATGAAATATTTTTCCGCTTGTATTCTGAAAGAAGAAAGTTTAAACCAAATGCAAATGGTAAAAGATTCTTCTCTCAGTGTGATCAAATCACTGTATTTCTTCCGATATTGAAGTGGAATACACAAATCTTTTGACCTTCTGGAATCAGCAGCATATTCAGTCAGCTTTTCAAAACTCCCTCATATCGTGCATGGACTTATTTGCAATGCCATTTAGTTCAGCCGCATACAGAACGCCAATACAGCGCAGCTGAGCAGAATGTCATTTATAGGCGCTCAAATCACAATTCCTCGACCAGCAACGATCTGATTTTCATTGTTTATTGGAAAGTATAACCGACAAAGCTGACTTGAATTCACTTCTTGTATCTTGCTTTATCCTTAAGAAAAGTGTACTTTTATAAGCAACTAACAACAGTATTATGATTAGCCTGAACTCATTAAAACGTCCAAAATATATACGTAGATGAAACGAATTTTGACCTGTGTTAAAAATTTTGCTACATAGTGTCGATGATATAATTTGAACATTTGCTGTTGAAGCTCATCCTTTGTGGTTCAACTCGGCTGAGTCTTTCTGCTCTCAATAATGAGATTCCAGTGATAAAATGACTGGAACTGTTTATTCTGCCTCATTGGTTTTGAGGACTCAGCAAAGCACAAAGGCTACATAAAATAGAACAGGAAAGGCATCGCTTGACAGATATCAGTCGGAGCGTCTAGTTGCCTCCTGGAATTTTTGTTATATTTAGCAAGAGGAAAAAGCAGTGCGAAGCCTGTATGACAAGACCGAGAGCTTAAATGTTATTTCTTAATTTTTGGATAGAACAAAATTTGATATGAAAACGGATACAATTAATCATAGAAAGACATGCTTTCATCGTCTTGATCGTAATGAATCATTTCACTATAAAAATAACGAAAAAATGCAAGATGAGTTGATTATAACTGTAGTGTTATCGTTGTCATCAGCTGACAGTAATCCAGGAGCCAATCAAATAATTAAACTTTCACAAATTTATGTTAAAGGTGCAACAATGTCGTTAGTCTATCGTGTATTTCTTCGATTTTTCGGTCATAAGATTAGAAATGTTTTCTCTAGTTATGTTTTTACTAATTAACTAATTAGCTAATAAATGTTCGTTTGTTGTGAGCTCAAAGAACCAACATTTTTACATATATTCATGGTAAAAAAGCTTGTTCAGAAAAATAATTCTTGTAAAGAATAAAAGGCGAATGAAAGATGGACATATCCCGTTTGGACTGAATTGGCCAACATATGTTGTTCGTGTTCTTTTCAAAAAATTTTTTGTGAGACAGACAGAAGTTATCTTATTTAGTCTTGATAACGAAGTCAGAAAAGCGAACATAAATGCACATATTTATCTAGTTTAAACAGAGAAAAAGTATATAAATAAATAAAAATTTAGTATCCTAAGGCAGCTTTGTAGTCATGATGATGCGCATACACAGTAGCAATATTGTTATATATAGCCGCAACTGAAGGGTGTCTTTCATGCAAACGCAGTTGCATGGTCTCTAACGCATGTTCGTCCATAACTAATGCACTGTTATAATCACCTCTATTATCGAGTACTGTGGCTATATTACTATTTGTCACGGCAACGTATGGATCATTAGCACGGTAATGACGTGAATATAAAGCAGAGGCTAGTTCATAGTTTTTCATAGCATTTCCATCATCACCTGATGACGAAAACTTTCTCCAATATTATTGTATACCATTCCCAAGTCTTTATGATTAGATGGTAGTTCATCAATTAGTAGTCGATAAAATTTTTTTTGCTTTGTCAAATTCATCCATTTTAGACAGAAACAATCCTAATGTTAAAATAGTTGGTTGAAAGCCAATGAAACTTTTAAAATACTTCATTAGTCCTAACAATTGTTCATCAAGCGTATTACTTAATCTAAGATCCACCAATCAAAGTCATCAGTCATCATTTCAACATTCACAATTTTACATATGGTTGCCGTCGAAAATAAGGCTTCGTTTTCGTCCTTATTACAACTTAGTTGTCATATTTTACCAAACGGTTTGCTATCAATTTTCAAGTCAATATCAATTTCAAACATAACCAACTCTATATTTGATCGAAGAGAACCGTCATCAACGAATTCAACAGCTACTGCGCAGTTCGTAGTTGTCGAACTGACAACAATCGAAATGACTTTTCCAACACTATTTTTTAGTTTTTCGAATTCTTCAACATACATACCTTGCAGAGATGGGCGAGTCACCACTTTTTCGAGCCCGAGTCAACAACCTTCGAGTCCAGGTCCGAGTCACATCAAAAAGTGACTCGAGTCATTTTCTAGTGAGAATCTTCTTTTTTCTTTTCTTATGTCTTTTTATCGTCTGTTTAGTATCCATTACATCATTCTATTCTCTATCTTTGTTTGTCTTCTCGTTTTCTAGATCTTCAATCTTCTCGTGTGAGGCGATGTTCTCCTTAGAATATTCTAAAATCTCTCTCCCTCTTATAACAAATATGATAAACGCCCTCAGCATAATCTAAAGTTGCACGACTGACTCGAAAGTGACTCGAGTCAGTTTATCAAGATTATCGAGTCTTTCTTCTCGAGTCCGAGTCATTGAAAAATGCGACTCGAGTCCGAATCATGACCCGGACTCGCCCATCTCTGGTGCCTTGACCGGTACACAGTCATCATCTTTTCATTCCACTCTAGTAGTTGTGGGTGTAATGCTTGCAGCTGTGAATACAGGTCAGTAATAAAATGTCTATATTTAAATATTTGTTCAATATCTTGTGTCCAAAGTGCTTTATTTAGCACCAGAATGCCCGGAAATTTTCATGCCCTGGAACGCCCAGAGCGGTCATTTTGACCGCTTCTGATATTTATTGTAAATTTAATAAACTTAAATGTAAAAATTAAGAGTATTTTAATACTTTATTCATTTCTCAAAATTTTATAATTAAAAATGGTTTTCACATATAATATTTTTTTCAATTTTGCTATGTTTTCCACACACTGATGTACTACAAATGTTACAATTAAAATTAGTTTTATTTTGGCAGCGTAAACTGGTACACTGCCTTCGTTTTTTAAAAGAAAAGTTTTGCTGCGCTGCGCCGAGTATCGAGCTAGTAATTATAATAAAAAATAAAATTTCGGAATGGCTATTGCCACCTTCGGAAGGTGTCACTGACAGCTATTGCCACCTTCAGAAGGTGTCACTCACGGCTATTGCCACCTTCAGAAGGTGTCACCAAGGAGCTATTGCACCTTCAGGAGGTGTCAATAACGGCTATTAGCACCTTCTTGTTCACTATTATGTTCCTGAAAGACAAAAAGATCGACACATCTCATCTGTCACACAAACATAAAGAACCCCGACTGTTGTAGATGTTATGACACCTTCGGACATAATAGTGAACAAGAAGGTGCCAATAGCCCTTATTGCCACCATCCGACATAATAGTGAACTGGAAGGTGGCAATAGCCGTCAGTGACACCATCTGAAGGTGGCAATAGCCGTCAGTGGCAGCTTCTGGAGGTGGCAATAGCTCCTTGGTGACACCTATGAAGGTGGCAATAGCTGTCAGTGACACCTTCTGAAGGTGGCAATAGCTCCTTGGTGACACCTCTTGAGATGGCAATAGCGCTACCCATAAAATTTTTAGTCATTTCAAAATTTTATCAAAATATATTATGACAAAAAAACGTTGATGCAAAAATTTCTCCGTATTGCAAAAATTTTGTTGTTCTGCTAAAAAGTTTTGTGCGTGGAAGGGTTAAAATTCACTAAATTTCCAAAAAATATATTTAAAATAATTAATCGTGTTTTTTTACAACGGCTTTTTTTTGGTTTATTATATAATTTTTAAATTTTTATTGAAAATGGTCCAAATGACCGTGATGGGCTCTTTAGGTATATTTTTTGTTACAAAATTTCTAGAAAGAATGTTTTCAAAATTCTGCAGAAATTAATTTTTGTAGGACAAATTAAAAATTATGACATAATTTATTTTTAAATAAATTGTATACAGTTTGTTTTATTAGAGATAAAAATCGTACTATTCGTTTCCATTCTAATGAATGAGGCATAATAAAGTTTCGTTTTACTTATCCTAGCATTAAGAACCGTAAGCACTTTGATATTGCTGAAATGTAAAAGCATTGATGCGTAAAAAGTGTAGAAGTGTAAAAGTGTTAAAGCGTAGAAATGTACAAGTATACAAGTGTTAACATGTGAGAAAATGGAGGTATTAGTAATGAGAAAAAAGAACCTTGCATATGTCAAATTTTGTAAATGTTGCTGACGGTTTGTATATGGCGCTTTTCTCGAAATACGCAGCGAAGGTGTATTCCGGATCTTATGGAAATTGCACAAGTTCAACAGCGCTCTGTTCAATGAGAATGACTGCTACCCGCTTAGGAATGGTTCAAAATACACGACTATTTCTCTATTATTATTCTCTTCCCCTATTCTTCTGCTCTTCCTCTATTATTTGTATTATAGAACATAGCATTGTATAATAGTTTTGCTATATATAATTTATATATATAGAACAGAGGCTTCGGTTTCAGATCGAACCGAACCAATTTCTGTTCCGTATGAGTTTTTCGTAAGATTCGGTTTATACTAAATCTTTTTTTGGCTTTCTAGACTTAAAAAAAATTTACCGGTTCGGCTTGGTTTGGACTTTTCGAAGAGACGAACGGTTCGGTTGGGTTAAGATGAAAACTCGAACCGATCCCATCTCTGATATCTAGCTTAATTTTCTTTTTAACGGATTTGATTTGATGAGAAATAATCAAATCAATTGGAAAAGAAAATTAAGCTCAATATATACCGGGTTGTGCATAATCTTTTGCTAGTGGGGTAGCATCATGATTTGTATGATTTGTTGTTAATCATTATATTCGCCAGTGTCTAACTTGCTGCCACTTATGGCACTAAAAAAATGATAAGTACATGATGTCAGGTCTGTGCACGTTGCCACCCACTTTACGTAAGTCACTCACGTTTTGTCAAGTTTGTGTTTTCGTGAGGAAAGGTCAAATGGAACTTGGTGACGTCTCAATTGAAGAGTAATCATTTACTTTAAATGATAACGCTGGCACTAGAGCCTTAGCAAATAAGTAATGTTAGACTGTATTCACATCGTACGTCTTTGCTTCTTTCTTCTCTATGCTTTAGACGGAAAGGAGAAAAAGTATATAACATCGAGAAGGAAATTCTCATTCTCGAAAAAAGAAAACGGTAAGAAAGAAGAAAAATTTGTTTCCGTCTCGTGTAGAAGAAGAGCGAACATTATGTATTTCATGTACAGTGATGAATAAGAAAAGTTTCAATAACGTTTTAAGTAATGTTTCCGTAAAGTTGTGCGTTGTTTTTTGTAAAAGGAAACATGACTCTGTGTCTGTGACCGTAACTGGAAGTATTCGATTTTATATATTTATGATTTATAATCAGTAGATGTATCAAGACAAACCAACAAACGATCAAAACATGAACAAAAAAGCAGGAAAAACTGCTTATGATTCTACAGTACTGAAGGTCATAGGGACGAAGAAGCTCCAGTTGTCGCCAAATTTTGTCTCTTATCCAGAAGAAAAAAGTAGGTAAAATATGTGCATTTAAGTGCACTCTATCCAAATATGGTAGTAGAAAATCTCGATAAGTTTTAGTTTTGATAGAAAAACTTCATAAAATAGCATTCACTTTTTCTTTAATCAAATCGTAGGGAGGCTTCTTCCTTTTTCTACTACTTTTCGCTTCAGCATTCAGTCTTCAGCATCAGTCTATAACTAGCGGTTTTCACATTTATCTAAAAATTTTCAGAGTTTTGCCGAAAGTCTTTCAAGGGCGAAAAATCTTAGATTTTATCAGCACTGAATAGCAATTCCAAAAGACCAGATAAAATCTCAATCTTGATGCTAAGTAGTGACGCAGCATCAGAAGCAGAAAAGAAAACTCAATGTTGCCTCGCGTATCACAGTAGGCATTATATCGAGCTTGTTGTTGATTGCTTATAAAGGTTTGTACGAAAATTAATTTTTAACAGCAGCTTAATATTCGGAACAAAAGTGTGCAAACAATATCAAGCTGCTGTTAAAAACTAATTTTCGTACAAATATTTAGCTCATACACTAAAATTTACATTTGTATTATGTCCGTTCGCTATTGTAAGAAAGCCGGTAACATATAAAAGTGCGATTAGGTCTTGTATGGTCCTGGTGTGTTCTCACTTCCAGGCGTACTAGACGATAAAATCATTTTACGTATAGTAAAAATCCTCAACACTATTTAATAGTGTATTCATAAGGAAGAAAATGAGTGCATCAAAGACTGTGCCTCGATAGCTCAGCGGTCAGAGCAATGGTTGTGAATACCACTGTCCTAAGTTCGATTCTTAGTCGAGGTGTACACTTTTCTTCCGAATATCAAGCTGCTGTTAAAAACTAATTTTCGTACAAATATTTAGCTCATGCACTAAAATTTACGCTTATAAAAGTGTTTTTAACTGTGGTGTAGGTCGACATTAAGTTTGTTGCTGAGGTTGTTCCATCATTCTTCGCACAAAATCCTGAACATTTTCTTCTATGTCATGTAGAATTGTTGACCCCTAGTGAGTTCTTCATTATGGTAGTTAACATAATCTTTGTTATCCCATAATCTTGTGTAAATGCTAATGGATCATTTAACACTGCCTGCTCAGCTCTAGGAAATAACTGAGCTGCGTGAATTACTGGGTCAAAAAGACACTTACATTAGTTAGCATATTTTGTACTCGTCTAATAGCACTTTGTTTGATCAGTGCGGCATAACAGTGGGCAAGCTCACTATAATTATCACAAATAACTCGCTTCATGATCTTTTTTGGTGCAACTGTTCTATTCTTCTACAAATCAAGCACTATTTCAATTTCAATATGTTATTTTCAAATGTTTTCGTCGCTGACGTGTTTCTCCAATATTTATGGATTAGAGAAGAAAGAAAACTTCTTAGAAACTGTTGTAGCGTTCATTAATTTTATATAACATAAGAAAAAAATGCATCCACCGATACAACGAGTCTAAGTTCTGAAACCAATGCTCAAGTTTTGGGACAATTAGCTAACATCATCGATATATCATCAGAACTGCTGAACGGAACAGAGACCCGACGAGCAGGAACAATTTATCTCAGTCTTCATTCAGTTACAACATATTTTACTCATCATACAGCATTTGCCGAACCTCGCTAT